TGCCACGGGATGTGTCAGGGGACGCCCCACGCGACGTGCCAAGGGGACTCGCCAAGGGACGGCCCACGGAACGTGCCAAGGAACGTGCCAAGTTGAAATGCTGAGTGTATCGATCTTGATGTACGGTGCCTGCTCTATAGCGTTGTGGATCGAGTCCTCCTTTGCATCCGAGTCCTGACCGAAATGATCTGGATCTTGAGCTCGAGCTGCCTGAACACATAGTAGCTGCCCCAGAGCTAATTGACAGGGGGACCTGCCAGGAGGACGCGTCGCGGAACGTCTCAAGGGACGCGCCAAGCGACGTGCCAGGAGACGTGCCATGGGGACGCACCGCGGGACGTGCCAAGGGGACGCGCTACGGAACGTGCTGGGGACAAGCGTCTCGCTCGAGACACCCTGTCAAAATCCTCATGCTAGACATCCGCCTGAGCGACCTGGACACGTGAAGACAAAAACACAAGTGGCTCGCTCGAGACATCCTCAACACATCTTCATGTGAGACGTCCGCCTGCGTGACCTGGGCACGTGAAAACAAGCGTTTCGCTCGAGACGTTTTCAACACCTCCTCATTCTATACATCCGCCTGGGCGAACTGGACGCGTGAAAACAAACGTCTCGCTCGAGACATTCTCAACACATCTTCATGTTAGACATCCGCCTGGGCGACCTGGACACGTGAAAACAAGCGTATCTCTCGAGATATTCTCAAGACATCCTCATGCTAGGCATCCGCCTGGGCAACCTGGACACGTGCAAACAAGTATCTCGATCGAGACTTCCTCAACACGTCCTCATGCTAGACATCCGCCTGGGCGACGAGGACGCGTGAAACCAAGCGTCTCGCTCGAGACATCCTCAACAAATCCTGGCGCTAGACCTCTGCCTGGGCAACATGGAGGCGTGAAACCAAGCGTCTCCCCAGACATCCTCAAGACCTGCGCACGTCAAAACAAGCGTTTCACTTGAGAGATCCTCTGAATTCTGGTCCCTGGGAGAGGGCAATCTATTCCACAAAACAATCGTTTCGCTCAAGACATCCTCAACAAATTCTGAAAACAAACAAGCGTGTCGCTCGAAACATCCTCAAAAATAATCCCGCCGGCCCCAGGCGACCTGGTTATTTATCACAAAATAATTCCGCCGGCCCTACAGCCGTCAATTCTGTGGGTACACCTTAAAAAAAAACCCTGGGCCCGCGCCCTTTCCGGGACAACCGCCTCCCCTGCAGCTCCGCACTGCGAAAGACCACTCGGTCAGTCGACAACGGCACGCAATGATGGGCCGGCGGAATGAGCGAAGCGACTCAATAAGGTGTTTGTTCCCGGGGGGTGCATTTCAACTTGCAATTCGATATTCAATTCGGCTTGCATGTGGATGGGCACGCAGACTTGTATCACAAGAACAAAAATGTGCATCACGTCGATTTGCATTTTGGCTGTGTTACCATGTCTGGTTCGATGTTTATTGTAATGCGCATTGCTGCGCATTCTGTCTGAAAACATATTCGCAGGTCGGTATGGGTTGCGACTTGACAGGTCATGGCAATCGTGCTTGCATATCGATGTCCGTCTCAATTGCTGCTGGGTGTTAACAAGATTTGTAGGAGTGAGGAGGCCTCACTGTCATTCATCGTCCCTGGGTGAGTGGCTGAAGTGTAGTTCCGCTGCTCGGATTGTTGCTGCTGTTGATGTTGTTGCGTTGCGTTATTTATTTGATTTGAACTTCTGAAAGATAAGTGTTGTTGACCCTCCTGGCACAATACCCGAAGTGGAGTGTCCCCCCACCCAAGCTCGCACCCTGCTTTCTGTCAGGGGGAATATTGAAGCTAAGACTGTGTTGCTGGCCTCCGGTTTATAAGAACAAAGGCTCCCGCCTGATACTTCGTCACATGCTATTGGAAATCGCGCTCTCGTGCGGGACTTCCCCACAATGTACACAGGAATCGCGCTGTCGCATGGCACTCCCTTGCAACATGATCGACCCACGAACCCAGAAAGGAATATAGAAATGTAAGGCATGGCAACGATTCAAAGACACCTGATTGGGTGACGGGCAAATGCAATGCTGAGTGTATCAATCTTGATGTACCCTGCCGAGGGCTGTGCTGTGCTGCCCGTGCTGATCTGCGGTGTGCCATGCCGCGATTGTGCTCTATAGCGTCGTGGATCGAGTCCTCCTTTGCATCCGAGTCCTGACCGAAATGATCTGGGTCTTAAGCTCGAGCTGCCTGAACACATTGTAGCTGCCCCAGAGCTAATTGACAGGGGGACATGCCAGGAGGACGCGCCGCGGAACGTCCCAAGGGACGCGCCAGGCGACGTGCCAAGGGACGTGCCATGGGGTCGCACCGCCAAGGGGACGCGCTACGGAACGTGCCAATGGATGTGCCACGGGATGTGTCAGGGGACGCCCCACGCGACGTGCCAGGGGGACTCGCCAAGGGACGGCCCACGGAACGTGCCAAGGAACGTGCCAAGTTGAAATGCTGAGTGTATCGATCTTGATGTACGGTTGCCTGCTCTCTAGCGTTGTGGATCGAGTCCTCCTTTGCATCCGAGTCCTGACCGAAATGATCTGGATCTTGAGCTCGAGCTGCCTGAACACATGGTAGCTGCCCCAGAGCTAATTGACAGGGGGACCTGCCAGGAGGACGCGTCGCGGAACGTCTCAAGGGACGCGCCAAGCGACGTGCCAGGAGACGTGCCATGGGGACGCACCGCGGGACGTGCCAAGGGGACGCGCTACGGAACGTGCTGGGGACAAGCGTCTCGCTCGAGACACCCTGTCAAAATCCTCATGCTAGACATCCGCCTGAGCGACCTGGACACGTGAAGACAAAAACAAGTGGCTCGCTCGCTCGAGACATCCTCAACACATCTTCATGTGAGACGTCCGCCTGCGTGACCTGGGCACGTGAAAACAAGCGTTTCGCTCGAGACGTTTTCAACACCTCCTCATTCTATACATCCGCCTGGGCGAACTGGACGCGTGAAAACAAACGTCTCGCTCGAGACATTCTCAACACATCTTCATGTTAGACTCTTAGACATCCGCCTGGGCGACCTGGACACGTGAAAACAAGCGTATCTCTCGAGATATTCTCAAGACATCCTCATGCTAGGCATCCGCCTGGGCAACCTGGACACGTGCAAACAAGTATCTCGATCGAGACTTCCTCAACACGTCCTCATGCTAGACATCCGCCTGGGCGACGAGGACGCGTGAAACCAAGCGTCTCGCTCGAGACATCCTCAACAAATCCTGGCGCTAGACCTCTGCCTGGGCAACCTGGAGGCGTGAAACCAAGCGTCTCGCTCGAGACATCCTCAAGACCTGCGCACGTGAAAACAAACATTTCACTTGAGAGATCCTCTGAATTCTGGTCCCAGGAGAAGACAACCTATGACACAAGGCAATCGCTTCGCTCGAGACATCCTCAACACATTGTGAACAAAATAAGCGTTTCGCTCAAGACATCCTCAAACATAATTCCGCCGGCACCAAGCAACATCGTTATTTGTCGCAAAATGATTCCGCGGCCTTACAGCCGTCGAAACCGCGGGCAAACATACTGGGCCCCCGCCCTTTCTGGGAAAAGCCAAAGAATTAGTCGAGACATCCTCAGAACTCCTGCGCGCGGGACGCAGCACGCGCGAGACATCCTCGGAAGTCCTGCGCGCGGGACGCTGTTCCGCGTCGCGGTCGGGGCTCCAAACTTCGTTTCTTTCCAAGATTCTGCTGAAAATGCCCCGCACCCTTTTTTACGACTTTTGCAATTTTACGTGGATTTCGGCATGCGTTTGCGGCGGGAAAATCGCTGGACAACCGCGGGAGAATTTCGGGACAACCTACGGGACATCCACGGAACCTTCCGCAGGACACTCACGGGACAACCCACGGGTCAACCGCGACACAACAACCCACAAGACGACCCACGGAATAAGCATAGGACAACCCACAACACAATCGCGGGAAAAATACAAAACAACCGCAAAATGTCAACGAGACAGCCACGGCCAGGAACCGCGCCTCCGGAAGAAAACATTATTGCATAACTTGGCTCTGGCACGCCGGAACGCGTCGCCCCCGCTCAGTGTTGCATCGTTCGCCCGTGCAACACAACCGAAACCAAAACTGATTTACCAATTGGGGTCGCTTCTTTCCCTGGCATCCGGTTTGGAAGCGCAATTCCCGCCACGCCGACCACGCGCTGTGCACGCCGTCGCTAATGCAAGCAAGACCGCGCGCACACTGTTGGCAATGTGCGATCGAGCACCCTTCGATCATCTCCGCGCGATCGCTCCAGCGTCATACCTCCGATGCGCACATGCAAAACAGATGCAAGTCATATTGGCCCAGCGGAAGGGCTAGCTAATGTAGCCTTCGTTCGCAAGCTCCACAAACAAATGCGAAGACCCTCTCAACCAGACTACACATTATTCATCGAACAAGCATGTCGTGTACCCCCAGCTCGGTTTCAAACTACAAGATGCCTCGTGAAAGTCGACTCCTCTACGGCCCACCGCCCGCCCCGCCGCCCTCGAGGCTTAAGCCCTTACGCCCCAGGCCCTCCGTGAAGCCCCTTCCCCAGGGAGGTGCCCTCCTCCCCTCCTCGGGCATGCTAAAGAAAAGGGAGGAGGAGGATACGGAGAAGGATGCAGGACGAGAGTTGGGGAGGAGGACGGAGGAGCCCCCTGTTGTTTTGACGGGCCATATGAACGGCAGGCGCGATCGCCGACGCCCGGCGCGAAGCCCCCGACTCGGGAACCTTGGGGAGATGTGCGATGCGGCGCGCAGCCAGCCCTGCGAAGCCAGCCGCGCTGCCGCGGGCGCGGCGCAGGCCCCCCAGAGGCAGCAAAGCCTGTCCGCGCGCCAGCAAGCGATCTCGCCATCCCGGGCATGCACTGGCCAGCATCGCATCGCCACCGAGGTCTCCGCGCTACCGCCGCAGCGCGGGCAGCAGACCTGCGCGGGCCCCCTGCACGAGAGAGTGGCGCCACCATGAGCGGCCCGAGCCGCGCGAGCGCGGACCCCTCGCCAGACGGCGCGCCAGACACGCCAGCGGCGGCGCTGGGGGCCAGGCGCCGCGCCCAGGGCTGCTTGCTGGGTAGTCGTTTGCACCCGCTGCGCCGCTTCCCGTAGCTCCAGAGTTCCCTGCGGCGGGCGCGTACCGCGTCGCTCGGCAGGGCCCGCTGCGCAGCGGGGGCGCCAGCGTTGCCGTCGGCTGCGGCGTTGCCGAGGCGGTCGCGCTCGCTGACCCCCAGGCGCCGCGCCTCCGCCAACGTTTTGCGCGCTGGCACCCCGCGGGCCCGCAGGCACCCGGTGCGCGCGGCGTCCACCAACTGCAGCCACTGGTCCGCGTGCTCTCAGTCCCGCGCGTCGGATACACCTGCGATCTGCGCCCAGGACCTCACGACATACTGGCTGTCCGAGGCCAGGTCGACGGGGCCGCCGACGACCCGCGCCGCCGCCACGGCAGCTGTCACCTCTGCGCGCTGCGCAGTCGGCAAGCCGTCAGCTGGCCCAGCGAGAGACGGGGAATCGAACCCCGCGCGCCGCAGCCCCCACGCCAGCCCCCACGCCGCCCGAACCAGAAGTGGGTCGGTCGGATGGAGGCAGGCACCGTCGGTCCACACCGTGCGGCGGGGCGCCTCAGGGAGCAGCGCGGCTTGGGGCGGGAGCTGCGGGCCCTCGCTGCTGGCAGCGTCCGCCAGCGATGCTCCATGTAGCGGAACTGGGCAGCAGCGCCGCCCCGCAGGGACCAGCACCATCGTCGGCCACCAGGCTGCGCAGCCACCTCGCCACCAGTGGCTCCAGGAGGGTCCCGCACAAGGGCGGCCGCCAGGGCGCCATCCGAGCGGATCCATTTGTACAACCTGCCTCCGCCGTTAGCCATCGCCTGGTGCGCCCACTCGCGCCGGGAGTCGCGGCGACGGTCGCGAGCAGCTCGCTGCTGCCTAGCGATACTCGAGCTCGGCCCGGCAGACACAGTTCTCGAGCAGGCCCAGCGCCACTGCGAGCCGCTGCAGGTCGGCCGTCCAGGCGCTCCCAGCAGGCTCGTCCCTGAACAGCGCTGCTGCGACGGCCCACGCCTGGTGGCAGCCGAGGCCCCACTGGCTCGCGGCATGGCGCATGGAGCGCAGCCGCCGCAGCCGGAGCAGCGCGGCATCGGCAGCCTTCCAGCGCCCGTGGCGCGCGGTCGACTCGCATGCCACCTCGCGTCAGCGCACTGCCGCCCGAGCGGCTCCAGATAGCCCATGAGGCGGCAGAGCCACTTGCGCATGGCAGCCTCCAGCGCGCCGCATCAAGGCGGCCGTCACAGAAGCCAGCGCGAAACGCTGCCCCATACTCTTGCAGCACTTCGTCGGTGACGGCCTGCCGGGCGTCGGGCCATCCGTCCGCAGCAGGCCCAGAGAACGTCAGAGGTCGCCTTCGCATAGCTGCGAACTCTGGCGCCTCGACGACCAGCTCCACCTCGAGCGCCGCACGCGTCGAGAGGCCAATATCCCAGCGCAGCCCTAAAGACACAACGTGTTCCATCGCCGGCGCATTGGCAAGAAAATGATCGATTCTGGATGGGCTGCCCGACTTCGGCAAGCAAGTGGGCTCAGCCTGGGCCAAGACGTCCTGCCAGCCGGCCATGGCCAGGAAGGGCTCCACGCTGGTCCCACGCGCAGCACGAGGTTGAAATCCCCCACAGGCAGCGCCGGCAAGGAGCACAGCGACCGAAGCCACAAAACCACTGCCAGGAGCAACGCCTGGTTGTCCTCGGCGGCGGCCGGGCTGTCAGCATGGCCATAGACCTGCACGATGTGCAAAGCTCGCCGGCCTCCGAAGTGGAGAACTGCGTACTGCAGTCGGCACGCCTGCTCCGAAGTGAGGCTGGTCATGTCCACCGCGCACAGTCCGTGCAAGCCCTCCCGGTGCGCGAACGCCAGCAGGTGAGTGCCATCGCTGGAGGCCCAGAGCTGCATGCGGAGGCCGCGGCGTCGGGCTCTGTCAACCACGGCGACAACGCAACCCTCGTCAACAGGCACTCGGGCTCCTGCACGCAGTACACGTCGGCGTCGGCCGCCAGGAGCCCGCGCCAGCTGCCCCGCCAGCTCGTGACATTAGCCACGACGATGCGCGTACTTCTCGGCGCACCTCTTCGCCCGGGCCCAGGGTGGGACGCCTCGCCCACGCGGACGCCGCGGTAGGCCCACCCGCTCCACCGCGCCACATCGCGCGCAGCTTCAGCAGCACAGGCCCCCCCACCAGCGCGGGGCGCCACCTCCCTTTCCAAGGCCCTAGGCACACATCCCCTGACAAACGGGGAGCCCCTACTCCACCCTGGCAAACGGGAGGAGCCCCCTGCAATCCCCTACCCAATGGCAAACTGGAAGCCGTTCCATCCCCCTTCCCGTCCGACTTCCTGCCCGGGGCTGCTCACAGCGCAATATACCCCGCCTCCAACGCAGGCGGCGGCTGGAGCACCGATGGAACGGGATACATAGAAATCCCTGTTCGGGGGTGAGTGTCGGAATGCGGTTGGTGGTGATTCTCCCCTCTCCTCTCTCCGTCATGTTCCGTCTTCGTCCTGATCACCCTCGTCCTCATCCCTGTTCCTCCACCCGATGCTCCATCACTGCACCCTCCATCCGTCTACTGCCCTTCCCCTTCTCCTTCCACCCATACCCATGTCCTCCTCCTCCCTCTCCCCCTTCTTCTCTTCCTCTTCTTTCTTCTCATCAGGAAACCCCGTACACCTCGAACGTGCAGGCGTCCATCCCGAGCTCACACTCGACAGAGCCCTGCAGCAGCCAGGAGCGACTGCGCCATAGGAACTCGGGGCGGCCTCCTGGAAGATAAGGGGAAAGACGAGAGACGGTGAGGGGGGAGGGACGGAGGTGGAGGAGAGGATAAAGGTGGGAGGGTATGAAGGTAGAGGGGCGAGCGGGTAAGAATGCAGTTGATGAGAACCAGGAGCAGGAGGGTCGGGACACGGATAGCGCAACAGGCCCGCAACCAAGTCCTTGCGTGCCCTCACCGCAGGGCGCGCTACGCTTTGGGCGGGTTCCGCCGCCACGCCAGGCTTCGCGAGCTCTCGTGTTCCCGCATCCGTCCTGGCGACGCGCGCAGGTGCAGCAACACCTCGCGCTTCATACCGCTCAACGGCCGCGGCGGTTGCGGGAAGTTGAAAACACGCGCCTCTCTCAGACAGCGCAGCATGCGCAAGCACGCGCGCGCGAACGCCCAGGCACAAGCGCGCCGCCGCCGCCGCTGGGAGCGACGACCTCTACCAGCCTCAAAATTGCACCTGCGGCGCGCCCCGCCACACAAGGGTTGCGTGAGCGCCGGCGAGGCCTTTCTGTTTGTCGCCCCTGCTGTCTGCCATTCCGCCAGCCTGGGGGGAGAAAATCACTGACTGCAGGACGTCACGATGAGCGCCGTCGCAGCGCACACAGTAGGAAGGAAGGTCCACGGTTTTCCTCGGCTTTTGCGGGTCAGTGCGGCGTCTCGTGTGAGGGGAATGGCGAGCAGCCAAGGGGGGCCGAGCAACGGGTCCCTGCCTCGGCCCATCGCTCTTCCGAGCGCGGCCCGAAGGGAATTCTTACTAGCCTCCCTGTTGCCCAGCGGCCTTGGGGGGCAGGAACATCTCCTGAGTGACCGGCGCCACATGGGCTCGCCTTCTTGCTTCCTGGGGGGCGGTGGACGACGATCCTACGATCCGTCCAGGCCCTTCGCCGCGCCATCATTCCTCAATGGCGCGAGGCGCTCGGAGCGCTCCGCCACCCCAGTGGGCCCGCCGAGGCCGCGGCCGCAGTTCGAAGGAGAAATCTCATTCGGAACTCTGCGCTGATTTCTTGGGCTAATGCTGGGCCCGGTGCTGGGCCCCTCTTCCTTGGCGTGCGAAGCGCGCCACGGACGGCACCAGAGGCGCCGCAGGGGTGCCAAGCGCGGGCCCAAGACATCCGCGCGGAGCTCCGCAAGCTTGCGTTTGTGCCGTTGCGAAATAAGTGGTAGTATTCGTATGATGACAGTTGTGATAATTCCCCTTATCATGGATAGTCCCATCCTTACTATTCGTCTTCCCCTCATTCTGTTACATATGATGCTATGTGTTAGGCATGTTATTGTTACTATGTGTGTTATTGGTATTGTTGATGAGAATGATGGCATTTGCATTGTTGAAATGGCCGTTTTTTTTGTTTTTGAAAAACACGTTATTCGTATGATTGGTGCAGACATGATTGTTGTTACGTCTATGCCACTACTACTATCACGACGGCGAGGAAAAAGGCGACGACTACTTATACTACTACGACTACTATGACTGCTACTACTACTACTACTACTACTACTACTACTACTACTACTACTACTACTACTACTACGACGACGACGACGACGACGACTACTACTACTACTACTACTACTACTACTACTGCTACTACTACTACTACTACTACTACTACTACGACAATCACAACAAATATTACTACTACTCCCACTCCTATCCATATTCCTTATTCGAATATACTCCTACTCCCCCGTCAGGCCGGCAGATAGCGGGCGCATCCGGGTGGTCCCATCCTAGCTTGTAAAAAACAATACAAAATCAACATTTTTCTTATTTTTGCCTCTCGACATGGACGTCCTGTCGTCCACGGCGATAATCCATTGCAAAAAAATACCACAAAGAGCACACGCGCGCGTTCATGTCAGAATCCTACCGAACACCGTGTGTTTGCAAGCATTTCAACATAAAAACATCAAAAACCCAATGCTTTTTTCACAAAAAAATATACAAATTTCCCGCCCGGGCTCTCTTGCTGAAATCATAGGAAAACCATGAGAATCTTAAGAATTCTGTCACATCCAGCGATTTCACGTCATCGCGCGGTGCACTCGCGATGCTCTGTCATGCACCCAGGCCGCGAATCCTGTGCAAAAAATACAACAAAGAGCACACTCGCGCGTTCATGTCAGAATCCTACCGGATACCGTGTTTTCGCAAGCATTTCAACATAAAAACATCAAACACCAAACCCAATGCTTTTGTTTTCACAAAAATGCTTTGGGGCTGTCATGTCAGACCCCCCCCCCCCCCCACCCCCCCCCCCCCCCCCCCCTAGGGCTTCCTCCGGCCACCTCTGGCTTCCTGCGGTGTACGGGGCCATTCTCGACTCGTCTGGCAATGCGTGCGCGGCATTCAACACGCGCTCGCCAGTTCCCGTCGGCAACCGCCATCGCGGCCGCATCAGCTGTACCAAACCGGCTGGCCGGTGTGACTTCGGCCCCAGTTGTGCCAGCTTTGCTTCTTATGTTGTGGGAGGGCGGGTGGGACTGGGCATGCCATGCTTGACTCGCTCGAGCTGCTAGCTTGACTCCTACTCCTACTCCTACTCCTACTATTACATTCGACTACTACTACTACTATATACTACTATACTACTACTCACTATTTACTAATCACTACTCGCACTACTATACTACTACTACTTACACTATACTACTACTATTACTATTAGAATATACTCCTACTCCCCCCTCAGGCCGGCCATTAGGGGCCGCATCCGGGTGGTCCCATCCTAACCTGTAAAAAACAATACAAAATCAACATTTTTCTTATTTTTTCCTCTCGACATGGACGTCCTGTCGTCCACGGCGATAATCCATTGCAAAAAACACCACAAAGAGCACACGCGCGCGTTCATGTCAGAATCCTACCGAACACCGTGTGTTTGCAAGCATTTCAACATAAAAACATCAAAAACCCAATGCTTTTTCACAAAAATTGTACAAATTTCCCGCCCGGGCTCTCTTGCTGAAATCATAGGAAAACCATAGGAATCTTAAGAATTCGGTCAAATCCAGCGATTTCACGTCATCGCGCGGTGCACTCGCGATGCTCTGTCATGCACCCAGGCCGCGAATCCTGTGCAAAAAATACAACAAAGAGCACACTCGCGCGTTCATGTCAGAATCCTACCGAACACCGTGTGTTTGCAAGCATTTCAACATAAAAACATCAAAAACCCAATGCTTTTTCACAAAAATGCTTTGGGGTGGTCCTGTCAGACCGTCGGGCTTCCTCCGGCCACCTCTGGCTTCCTGCGGTGTACCGGGCCATTCTCGACTCGTCTGGCAATGCGTGCGCGGCATTCAACACGCGCTCGCCAGTTCCCGTCGGCAACCGCCATCGCGGCCGCATCAGCTGTACCAAACCGGCTGGCCGGTGTGACTTCGGCCCCCAGTTGTGCCAGCTTTGCTTCTTATGTTGTGGGAGGGCGGGTGGGACTGGGAATGCCATGCTTGACTCGCTCGAGCTGGCTAGCTTGACTCCTACTCCTACTCCTACTCCTATTCCTACTCCTATCCTTATTCCTTATTAGAATATACTCCTACTCCCCCCTCAGGCCGGCAGATAGCGGGCGCATCCGGGTGGTCCCATCCTAACCTGTAAAAAACAATACAAAATCAACATTTTTCTTATTTTTTCCTCTCGACATGGACGTCCTGTCGTCCACGGCGATAATCCATTGCAAAAAAAACCACAAAGAGCACACGCGCGCGTTCATGTCAGAATCCTACCGAACACCGTGTGTTTGCAAGCATTTCAACATAAAACCATCAAAAACCCAATGTTTTTTTCACAAAAATTGTACAAATTTCCCGCCCGGGCTCTCTTGCTGAAATCATAGGAAAACCATAGGAATCTTAAGAATTCGGTCAAATCCAACGATTTCACGTCATCGCGCGGTGCACTCGCGATGCTCTGTCATGCACCCAGGCCGCGAATCCTGTGCAAAAAATGCCACGCGGGCGACATGCGCGCACGTCGCCGCGAGCGCATGCTCAAATCCTTCTAGAGTCGTCGCCGTCATTGGCACCGTCGCATGGACGTCCTGTCGTCCACGTCGCAAAATGCATGGCAGGAATGGGACCCGGCTTACCGGGCCGTTCTCGACACGGCCACCTCTGGCTTCCTGCGGAGTGCCGGGCCATTCTCGACTCGTCTGGCAATGCGTGCGCGGCGTTCAACACGCGCTCGCCAGTTCCCGTCGGCAACCGCCATCGCGGCCGCATCAGCTGTACCAAACCGGCTGGCCGGTGTGACTTCGGCCCCAAGTTGTGCCAGCTTTGCTTCTTATGTTGTGGGAGGGCGGGTGGGACTGGGCATGCCATGCTTGACTCGCTCGAGCTGGCTAGCTTGACTCCTACTCCTACTCCTACTCTACTCCTACTCCTACTCCTACTCCTACTCCTACT